GCTCTTCTTTTTCCATTTCCTTTCTAATTTTTTCATCGATTTCATTTCTCTTATTTTCTCTCCAATTTGTGCCAGTTATCACAAACTCTTTTTTTTCTATATATCGCTTTCCCTTTCGTTTAGGTGATTTGGCCCATGCTAGAAGATCTCGAGGATCCAAGTTAGGGTAATTTTCAATTTGATTAAGGATAGTATTGTCAGACTTCGAACTATTATTAATATGTTCTTGATTGACAGAAATTTGTTCCTCAATTATGACTCCATTATTTCCATTAACTTGGAGATCATCAAATATTACGGGAATATCAGCTATATCAATACTAAATTCTTCATTGTGATTGGTCTCGAAGAACTCTTCGTTATTAATATTTTCAGACTTACTATTGGGTTCTATCTGAAAACCATTCAATGACAAGTTATCTTCTAGTGTTACATTGGTCTCTATATTTTCTGGCTGGGTTAAATTAGAAACGTTTTCAAGATTTTCTGCCTCTATATTTTCTGGCTGGCTTAAACTAGAAACGTTTTCAAGATTCTCTGCTTCCATTTCTTTAGTTGCTTCTGGTTCATTGTTATCAAATGCTTTCCATACTTTATACAGTGTATATTCCGATACAATATTTTTATTGTACGTGTCATTTTGAAATTTTGATAGATATTCATTCCCAACTATATTACTAAGTGTCTGGAACGAAATCGTAGTCATTTCTGAAATTTTATTGTCATGCTTTAAAGACTGACTACCCAAACATTTGGAAAAATCAATGGCATTGCAATTGAAGGGGTATAGACCTGTAGCTTTAAATCCATTTTCTAGTGTTTTTTGCTTGGCATATTGTTTTATGACTTTTTCTAATATGGGAGGGAATTAGTCTTTAGTGAGATTTTCATTCAAATTTTCTCGTCTCCATTCTAATACTGCTTTCTTCCAACCAGTCTTGATTGGCTTAAAAGCAGATACATCTGCGGGCTGCAGAATTCGGGTAGCATTTGGGTAGAGACAAATTAAAATTATTTCCAATCTCTTACAAAGTTCACTTAATTCGTAAGTCAAATGTGTACTGTGACCATCTACGTACAGTATAATTGGAAATTCAATGTTGTTCTTTTTTAAAAATGGATACAGCACTTTCGAAATATATTCATAGAACACAGTTGCTTTCATTCAACCCGTTTCCGTTAAACCAATTCCCCATTCAGGAGGCACTGCATTTCCAATTTCTGCTCTTAGCCTTTTACCGGGAAATATAACCATAGGGGGAGTTAGAAGCCCTGCTGCGGAGAATGTAAACATTACGGTAATATTTAACTTTGAAGAAGCATGCTCGACTTCATATACATTTTTAGTACCCCGTGGAGCGAGCACCTTTGACGTTTTGGGACACAGGTTAAAACATGTTTCATCCCCGTTAAATATTCGCTTTGGGTCACTTAATATATTGTTATACCCTTTCGCAATAAGGTACGATTCTATATGGCCAAACCATTTTTTTATGTCTTTTTCACTGACATTAGAGCTTGCTGAGGTAACATGTTCTGGGGTACGATCTACAAGTATTGGATGTCGCCGCAGGAAGGCTTTGTACCACCCATCATTTGGTAGATTATCCTTAAATGGATTTTCCCTTGGAAACTTATCTAAGATGGCCTTTGCAGACAATTGAAGGTCTTCTTTTCGTCGGGGAAATCCCTTTTTTGCATTTTCGAGAATCCACTCACATAATAATGTTTCTTCTGCAGTTGTAAGAACTGGATTTGGCCCGAAAGAACTTTTCACAAATTTATCGCTTTTCCTGAATTGCAAAGTGGCCCTTGGTATATTATACTTTCGAGCGGCATTTCTTAAACTTGTTCCGTTATTAATGTCGTTTAAAGCTTTTTGTAGATCGTCTTCTGTGTACTTTTTTGAATATATATTTCCCTTAATAATCTTGGGCATTTTTAAATTAAAATATCTGCAACAATAAAGAAGAGTTAAACTTCTATAAATAATATCGGAGTCCAGTAGTAATTAGTAAAATAAAAATACTCTAGAAAAGGTAAATAAAAATGCGTAGCACAATGTAGATAAATTAACGTTACTTTACTTCGAACATACTTTACAGTGTATTCTAGAAAGTTCTAGCTTTTCACTTTATGCAATTTTCCAAATTTCTTTATCCCTATTTAACAAAAAGCTTAAAAGAGTAAAATTGTACATTTATTATTAGACACCTTATATTTAAACTTAGATAGTTATTGGCCCCACCTATATCACAGTCATTGGCCCCCGGCCAACCACTATTTAGAGGCTTTAAAATGACCCCTATTAGTCCTATTGATTTATAGGATTTTTTGTTATTCTATTTTGCTCTGAAAATATCTTATTTTAAAAATGGTTCATCTAAACACAGTAATTGTCCCCAGGGCCAATAATTGTTTTCCCGCCAATTTTTGTTGGACAGTTATTGGCCTAGTATTATTTTATACATTTTTATGGTTATATTAAAAAAATATCTTTAAAATTAACACTAAATATAATATAAAATCACCAGAACACATTCACAACATAATAATTAATAAATTCCAAAGATATTAACTTACTTGTGTCACTCTGAACTTAACCAAATCACAAGAATTTCACTTATTCTTCACGTTGTATGTATACCGTCTGGATACATTAGCGCCATTTCTAACTGAACGTTGCCAAGTGCTCCAAAAAGTTAGGCATACTAAATAAATAGTTGGAGTATGTTTCGCAATTGCCTAATTAAGAAAAAGCAAAAGAGTTTCCTTAATATTGTGATTTAAAGTCAATATGGCCAATCACTACCCCGAGGCCAATCACTGTATGCTTTACCCTACCCTGTATTCTGTGCTTTTGTAATAATTTGAAATAGTAAATTGTAACTATAAAAATACATTACCGAAGACAAGTAGAAATGAAAAAGAAGAGTTTAAATTATAATTCATACTCAAGCACAAACATGACCTAAAGACCTGACTTGGACATAAGTACAGTATCGCCATCTACATTCTATGTCCATCGTCCTCCAATGATAAGTCCATAAGGTTACCCTACTATATTTCTTCATACAACGATACAAGTTTTTCACCACATTTTAATATTTTCTTTATTCTCTTCCAGGTCAACCACACACAGAAATCCTGATTCCGTGTTGCAGAGTATCTTTTTCCTCAAATACACCATAAGAGGACTTGGGATCTTCTTAATTGTTCGACGGTGAGTTTTTATTTCAATTTTAGTTTAGAAATAATTTTCTTACTTAGTAATTAATTAGAGAGTTTATCTAATTTCACAAAATATTAAGGTGTGTGTACATACTTTTTATTTTTACTCGTTAAAGAAAAATTTAATTTTGTTTTCCTTTGATCATAGTCAAAGTGTCTAGTGATTTTATTATTGATTTTAAATGAAAATTTTTACTGTTCATTAATTATCGTTCTACCCTTCATATTTTCATGACAATATATTCTTCAATTAATCCAGAATACAATAATACTTATCGTCCTATAATTTCAAAAAGTTTACATGTTTAGAAGAATTATTTATTGCAAGACTCTTTAGCTACCTCGTTGAATAGGACTTTTATAAAACTACTGGTGATTTTTTTTAGATATAACCAGAGTTTTCTCTTATTCTTCCATTTTGGTATATTTAATTTATCCCTACAAATAACCAGTGCGACTTAGAATCCAAACTGATTCCTTTACAAGATTA